AGATTTGTAAAACACAAATCTTCTCATCATAATTAGCAAAGAAGACAACAATAAGTGAATTAAGAGACTAATATTTTCATTTCAAGTTGTATATTTTAAGATGTGTTATTGCAAGGCAATTTCAAGTCAGGTGATCTCTGAGGGTTTGTTAAATGGGTTAAGTCAGGGGTGCCCAATACTTCGATTGCGATCAACCGGTCGATCGTGGAAGGTTTTGAGTCGATCTCGGCAGATGACAAGCTGATCGCCGCTAGGACGCTGAGACCAGCACTTCCTCTTTTGACGGGCTTATCAAAAATATTCTCTAAGACCCTAAACGTTTGTAGCTTCATTAAAAAAAATAATTATTATTTAAAAAAAATCAACGAGATGTGTTAAAATTAATAATCTCAGTAATTATTGTTTGAACAAGGTGTTGCGCAATTCAGTGCGTTTCGGTCCCATTAAAAAAAAGGCGACTCAAGACCGACTGTCGAGCAGAGCAGGAGTTTAAATTAGCTACTCAACCACCGCTGTGTTCACAAGAGGCTTATTAATAGTCGAGAAATAAATATAAAGCCTGGAAACCTAATATGGTAACGGACTGAATGTTGTGTTTTTAACGTAATCTCTGCTCGGCTTGCGGGGCGCAGGCGGTTGCCACGGCAACGGGTGTGCTTAAACGTCAAAGAGACGGAGAGTAAAAAGGTAGGAGTGGTTTTGAGTTGATCGTCTGTTCGGGTTGTTTTACCTTTGCTGTGGCTCATCACACCTGCTGTAGTTTCTGAACATTCAATAAACGACAAACTTGGACTAATTACCTTGTTCGTATGTGAGTATACGTCACAACAAACATCAAATAGGACAAACATATTTCATTAAGTCTTAACAAATTCTACCATGATAATTATGTGAAATTAAATTAATTATATCCCGACTTCAGAAGATTTGCCTTTACCTTTACTGGGCTCTTTGGTTCCTCCTATCAGTCTGTAGTTTCTCATATTTCAGTCATCATACCAAATTTCAGATCTACCATGACTGACTGACACCTGCTGGCATCAGGTTTGCAACCAGCTTCTGACAGAGAAACCAGTAACCTCCTCCCAGTGTCAGAATCTCACTGAGGGAGAAACTGCGTTAGGTTTTCTGTCACTTTATTATTTCTGCTATAACTGATGCATATTCACATATAAAATGAGTCAATAGAGTTTAATTTGCAATTTTTATGTCTTTGTGTCATGAGGTAGATCTCAGGCGGCTGGTGAGAGAAAAAGTAGATCTTGCTCTCAAAAAGTTTGGGCATCCCTGGGTTAAGTGATCCTCAGCCTGACAAAGTTAGAAAAACTTTATAGTTGATAGCATTTGTCCACCACAAGCTAATTACTGCTGTTGTATCAAAAACTGCAATCAGGCAGTCATTGTCTTAAGTGGGTCAATGCATCACTCACTGAATATTTTGTCAAATGTATTAGCTTTATTTGTGACTTAGACATTTCTCCACATGAATTCTGGCAATAAAAGTTGTAGATCAACTGATTAGGAAGAGTTTACAGTCATTAATAAATTAAGGTGGTATTAGATCTATTTATATTCTACAAGAAAACCTGTTAGAGACGATTAGAGGACTGAGATTTGGGCAGAGATTGATCATTTAATGTCATTTTAGTTTATTATTATAGCAGCATTTACAAATGCCCCTTTAAGTTGCCTTACAGGGCAAACAGATAGCAGAATGAATCCAGTAAAACTCAGTTTAACAAAAGATTCACACACTCCAGTACAATTCTTATTGCAACCCTGCAGTCAAATTGAATTTACCTCATGTAGCTGAATGCATCAATGGACCAGCTGCAACTGGGAGTTGACTTTTTCCAACTAGACCACAGTCCTCTATTCAGCCAGAAGTCCAATGGAATGGGTTAGATGAGGGGTCTTCACTTGAGGCTCTGAGCCACAAGTAGCTCTTTAGGACACTTTCACAATAACTTTGGTTAAAATGAAGAACCAATGAATGTTTAAAAAATATATATCAAAGGGTTGTTTGTGCAGATTTGAGCAGTATTTTTATGGAATGATATCATTAAAGTTCCACAACAAAATTACACTAAAAGTAACATTTTTTTAGATTCACTTTTTGTGTCATTAATTTGGAAGCTGACAGTACCTGTTAGGGTTAGGGACCATGACTTCTCAAGAAAAGATTCAAGCAGCAAATACTTGACATCCACTAAGAACGCTTATGACTGGCTATTTTAATAGTTAGAACAGCAAATATTAGAGATGTACCGATCAGGTTTTTTTCCTGCCGATTCTGATTCCGATCACCCATGAGGGCCGATCATGGCCGATCACCAATACCAATCATATCATTTTTTTTTTTTTTTAATCATAAGCACTACCGGTTACATTATGTGGAAAAGGAAACCATGAATTCACCTTAATTTAGACAAAAACTTGTTTTTAATAACTTTTTCCAAGAAAAAAACAAAACAGGCATTGTGCAAATTGTACTGCTATTGATA